TTATGTTTTGCGAAATCGTTCCGACTTCCATCTCTAATGGTAGATATGGATTTACGACTACTCATGTGGAATGACCATATCATATATATAACGACAATTTGTTCAGTCACATTTTCAGCTTGTTGAATCATGGTACGATCTATGACCACGACCGTACCAATCACAGTGGTCCTATCATATATTCTATAGTCACGACAGTACTTAGCCAAATGTGATCTCTAATAGATATTCGCATCACCGCTCTCGTCAAAGGGTATGTCGTTATCTATGGAGAGCAGTACTCTCACGTCTTTTCAGACCAAATGGGGGGAAGGAGAAATAGAAACCTCTCAAAGATAAAAAGTCTAATGAGACACTTGACGCATTATGCATACCAATACAGATATATATATTTTTCGAACTATTCAGGCTCATTTCCCTTTATTTTTCTCTTTCTTGTTATATATTTTTTAGACAAATATCAAAAGATTCATGTTAGTTAATTTATATGCAAATCATCAAGTGTCTATAAATCACATAGCATACTTAAAATCAAGAATAAATCACTTTATTTGAACAATTAAACATAATTTCTTATTTTTTTAGAAATACTCCTTAATATGTTTAAGAAAATACTAAATTTATTACCGAAATCTTAAAGTTTTTCTACACCTTTCTTTTTCTTCTTTTCTCCTTCTCTCTCTAGATCACTCCCTCTTTCTCTAAACTTTTGGAGGATGAAAAAATGAAAATGGAAGTGATGATCAAATAGAAGAAAGGGGTCCCTATTTATATGAAATAGAGACTATTGGATTTGTGCCAAGTGGTGAAATCTGGTGAAGAGAGAGAGAGTTGAGTGGAAGACGAGCGATTTGACGCAACGCGATGACAGCACAAAAAATAAGGCAGAATCCTCCACCAGCGACAGCTCTCCACCCAAGGCGATGGCACAATGCCCAAGGCAGTGCACGACGTCCAAGGGGGTGGCGGCACACTACTAGAGGCAGGAGTGTGCCTCACCAGGCCGGCCGCACGCTACAAGCCTAGCTTGCAGACGTCAACCTACTATGTCGTGCGCAGGAGCTAGCCTATTTTCATGTAGGGCCTACAGCACACAGCACGATGCGTGATGGCCTATCCATATAAGCCTAATGTGCATTGTCAACGGCAAATAGAGTGTGCGACAACTGGCCCTGTTCGCACGCGATGTGATGAGTGTGGATGGAATGTGCGCACAGTGCACACGTCCTAAGCTTAGTTACACAGTGTTCGCACGAGCGACCTCTCTCGCGGGCATTTTTTCGCGGGATTTCTCCCCCTTTTTTTCGTTTTCTCCTAAAAATTATTTTTAAATAAATATATATATAATCATATAAAAATAAAATAATAAAATCAGTATAAAATTAAACTCATGAATTTAAATTATAAATTAAAATAAAAGATATGGAATAAATTTAAATGAGTTCAGGTGGTCTTAAGACCCGAATAAATAGGAGTTTCCAAGTATAAATTTAGCGTCGTGGTAAGGGGGGTGTTACATCCACATCCCCAATACAAATTAAGGTATAAGGGTGTCAGATATAAAAATAGATTACGAATACATGATAAAAATTGTATGCGGCGGAGTAATTTATTACCAATCTCTTATCAAAATATATGAGTTCCAATTACACATATTTAACTGAGGCTAGAAATGACAACATATAAAATATCAAAATACAAAAAGGTCACTTATTTCACTATGCAATTGGGCTCATCAGAGTGCGGGACAAGTCATGTCTCAAGGTTTATGAATCCACGGGATCCTCATAAACTTTAAGGGGTAGGTCAGCGGTCGGTTCCTCACTATCTTTCTTATTTGGGGGAAGGCATGGAAATGGTAAGTTCCATATGTTTAGTAAGGAAACAGTATTTAAATAAAATCTTAAGATTTTAAAAGTGAATAATGATGTCGTTACTACTTATTGTCAAGTCACTCCGATATCATATATTACTTTATGAAAATAATTTTATTTATTGAAAGACACATCATGTCATAGTCACAACAATCAAATGAAAATCATATTCAACAATAGAAAAAATTAAACAAATCATGAAATGCTCAGATTTTCGTGTCATACTTCGTGAAGTCGTTCCAACTTCCATCTATGAGGGCAGATAGGGATTTCCGACTACCCATGTAGAATGATTAGATCATATATATAACGACAATTTGTTTATGCACAATTTCAGCTTGTCAAATCATGGTATGATCTATGACTATGGTCGTACAAATCATAGTGGTCCTATCATATATTATATAGTCATGACAGTACTTAGTAAAATATGATTCGTAATAGATATTCACGTTACTGCTCTCGTTAGAGGGTATGCTGTCATCCATAAGGAGTGGTGCTCTCACGTCTTTTCAGACTAAATAGGGGAATGAGAAACAGAAATTTCTTAGAGATAAAAAATCTAACGAGACACTTGATACACTATGCATGTCAATACAGATACATATATTTTTCAGACCATTTAGGCTCATTCCCCTCTTCTTTTCTCTATTTTTTTTATATTTTTCAAACAAATATCACCAAATTCATATTATTTAATTTACATGCAAATAATAAAATGCCTATAAATCACATACATACTTGAAATCAAGAACAAATCACTTTATTGAAACTATTAAACATAAAACATGCAAGTATAAAACACAAACTTCATAATTTTTTATTTTTCTAGAAATGTTCCTTAAGATATTTAAGAAAATACTAAATTTCTTACTGAAATCTCGAAATTTTCCTACACCTTTCTTCTTCTTCTCTTCTCCTTCTCTCTCTAGATCACTCTCTCTCTCTCTAAACTTTTGGAGGATGGAAAAATAAAATGGAAGTGATGAGGAAATGAAAAAAAGGGGTCCCTATTTATACAAAATAGAGACTGTTGGATTTGTACCAAGTGACAAAATTCGATGAGGAAAGAGCTAGTTGAGTGGAAGATGAGCGATTTGACACAGTGCGAAGGTAGCACGAAAAATAGAGGAAGAATCCTCCACTGGTGGCGGCTTCCCACCTAAAGTGGCGACACACCGCCTAAGGTGGCACACGATGCCCAAGGGGGCGGTGGCACATTGCCCGAGGTGGCAGTGCACCTCACTAGGCCGGTCACACACTGCAGGCCTAGCCTGCAGGCGTCGGCCTACCCTACCACGCACAAGTCTACTGCCCATATTGGCTTGTCTGCTCACGATGAGACGTGCGCGCAGACTGGCTATGTGCCCTGCACAGATGGGACGTGCACACATCTTGCGCTTGGTCGCGCCCGTACGCACGTGCACATCGTGCGATGCCTACGCAGGTGAGCCTCTCCCCCAGGCGTTTTTCCGCAGGATTTCTCTCCCCCTTTTTTCTCTCCTGAAAATTATTTTTAAATAAAAATAATAATAATAATAATATATAAAATCAACCAAAAATAAAATAATAAAATCAATATAAAATTAAAATCACTAATTTAAATTACAAATTACGATATAAAGATACGGAATAAATTTAAATAAGCTCATGTGATCTTAGGTCGGAATAAATAGAGATTTCCAGGTACAAATTTAGCGCGGTAATAAACAAGGTGTTATACAAAGTCTCTGCGGAGCCTTTCCGGTCCAAAGTGCGGAAGGAACAGTGAGAGCTTGGAGCAGCAGAACCTGCATTTTGTTCCTTTCTTTTATAGTGATTGTAATGAGATTTGGGAATCATGATTCTTCTGGAATTCTAACCTTAATTTAATCAATGGTTAATTTTGGCTTCAATTTGTTAAAAATAAATTACTTTTTGCAGTTGAATTTGACAATCAAAGTTTTGATATTAATCCAAAGTAACTTTTGGAGAAATTATTATTGCGTGGTGCTCGCAATAGTTGTTTAGCATCTGTCCACTAAAATATTTACAATCAACATATCATATTACACTCTTAATTAGAGATGTTAATATTGTTCTGTAAATAAGAAATTAGTAAAATCAGTATTCGTGAATTAAAATTTTAACCTAACGCAATTTTTTACTACAGTTTAGGTATTCTAAAATTACTTTTACAATTAAATTGGTAAAATTTGAAGTATTTTTAAAAATAATTGATAGCTTTAAAGTCATATATTTTTATTTTTTATTAAAAATGTATATCTAAAATATCAAAATTACTTCCATTTGGAACATATAATTAATTATACACGTATCCCACGTATAAGGCTCCTTTATCTGTTTGAATCACTTCAACTCCTACTGGAACTTCCTTCAGGTAGGATTTCCAATTTCTACCTCTGAACTAGAAATTCTACCTCAAAAATCTTAAAGAGTGGAGTTAATTCAAGTATAAAAACCATATTTCAAGACTAATATGAATATACTCCTTTGTAGGAATTGGTTAGGGATTAGATCCCACTTGGGTTAGTCCTCATTCCATTTCTAACCAATTGCCCACACTTCAATTTTATTTTGTTTCCCCTTGATTCAATTCTTATTCCATCCTTCCCTATCATTTTAATTAAATTTTATATTTATCTTTTATATATAATTTTTATGTTTGTCACGATATAAATTATTTTATTGTGGGATTTCCTATTATCCGAGAAGAAGATATTAGAGATCCTATACAATTCAAAATGAGATAAACAATGGCTCGAACGTGAAAATCGTTTGTAGTTTTACATATTAAAATTAACATTGAAATTAAGTGTAGGTATTAACTAGGAACAGAATAAAGATTTAACCAAATGGCTTGTTGTACAAATGGGTTTTTACTGAAAGATTCTTGCAAGGCTTTTTTGATATTGTTGCAGGAATGGCATGGGTGGCTGGTGCAAAGATTTTTCCAGGCATTCAGGAAACAGAAGGAAGCTTCCTGTAGAGTAAATACTGCTTTTAGTTCCCTTTGTAGATCAATAACTCTGCTTTTGTAAACTGCAGACAACATAAACACACAATGTATATGTATATATATATATATATATATATATATATATATATATATGATGATCTGAAGTCTGATCTGAAGTTAAATTGAATTGCTGTATGTTGTCTAAGACCTTTAGATAGGCACAGAGAAACTTTCCTGTACAAACCGTCTCAAATCCTTCCCTTTTAGTTAAAGTTAATTACACTATAATTACTGAATTGGCTGATTCTCATCTTCAGTTCTTGACAGGGATTCAGGTAATTAATGTCAAGTGGCACCCATCTGTATTTTTTTTCGTGTCATGGTCCAAATATGCTATACTGCAAGCAGTACTCAAGTATTTGCGTGTAGAGAAAGCCAATTAATGATGCATAGGGCAATATCACATAACTGGAAGAAATTGTAATTCTCTATTGTCAACGGAGACACATTTCCCTCCATTGTCAGCCCTTCCTCGCACGTTGTGGCCGCTTCCATAACAGCACTCACCCATATATTTGCAGTGCTGTATTGTCCAGTCAAGAGAGCTCCTATGGCATCTACCAGTGTTACAACCCCATCCGAGTATAGCTCCAGGCAATCTCCCAAACAAGCCAGTGCAAAAGGGTCAAAACTTGCATTACTCAATAACCCTACGATGCTTGAAATAGTGTTGGTTGCATTTTTCAGAGCTAGCTCCATTGCAATACCTGCAAGTCCTTGAAGATTTGTGGCGTGGCTCACTGGAATTACTTGCAGTGAGGTTAAACAGAAACTGTAACTAATGATTGTGGATTTAGCTGCGCATGTGGTGCAGGTTTGTTTGATTATATCAACTGAGTTTTGCTCCTTTGTATCAACAGAGACAATAGCGAGTACGAAGGATTTCTCAGGAGAGATTACAAGGAAGAACAGGAAAAGCAAAGTTAAAGGATGTGGGATCAAACAGACATGCGCCATTTCTTGTTCGGTTAGCTTGCTAGATCTTTTGCTGGTAAAAATGGAATTGAACTTCTTTGCATACTTGATATATGTATAAATAATAAGCTTTGATGGCCAACAGAGGTTTCCATTCCAAGGAAGCTTCCTAAATTGTACTGATCTTTTTGTTACAGAAAATAAATGGAGAAGAAGGAAGTAGAACAGATGGGAAAATGGTAACATTGTTTTCTCCTGTGTAAGTATAGATCAGAGGGAAACTTCCTAGAAGCTCATCAATGAAAGGGAAATACTTGAAGCGTTGCATGCATAGCTTTTAGAACGATAAGTTGTGGGGACTTTACTCTCTTGCCAAGGATTTCTAAAGTGAGAGAAAATTTTGAGTAAACCTTTGAGTGTCTCTCTCTCTCTCTCTCTCTCTCTCTCTCTCTCTCTCTCTATATATATATATATATATACATATGTATGTATGTATATATTTGTTATCGATTAACTTTTGTGCAAACTTATTTCTATATAATAGAATTAGGAATACAACATAAACTATGAATAAAAATAACATTGTAGCAATAAGTTGGCTTTATGTCTACTTCAAGTTCACCATTGTAGAATTGAATATACAAATAGAATTAGTTTGATTATATATTAAATATGTAAAATGATTAATAATAACTGTACAATAAGGTGAAATTCGTGTCTTATTAAATAAAATAGTAAACAGAAAGGTTTTCTTAATTCTACTAACTAATTAATTGAAGTAATAAAAAATAGGACTAAAATTTTTTACAAATTGGTTAATAAAAGAGGTTAGAAACTTAAATTGAATGAAAGATAAACGATTATGAAATATAATAAAATGTGAAATCAAATGTTCACTTGAGGAAAAAACTAATTTTGATAGCAGAACATGTTCCTTTTCTTTATGTTCTTATTCTACAATTCCCCTTCGGTTTTCTTCTGTTTTTACCAATACCACTTCCAACCGTGTGAGGGAAAACCATAAACCATAGACAAAAATAAATAGCACAAAGTGACAGAATTATAACCGTTAAGAACAGATACACATATCAACACTCCAGCCAAATCCGCATGAAACAATGGAACTAAGCCACTAAAAGCAAACTCAATTCCACACACAACCAATCCAATGGAGTGTTGAATTATATATATCAGCCACATAAATATCAGCAGCTACTCGCACTGGGAAACTAGTAGAATATTTCGTTATCTATCAGTAACTAAAGAGTATGAATACATATCAGGAAAAGTTGAAAGGGTTAGGCGACTTTCCTTGCATACTGTACAAAACTTTCATTGTTGTCATAACTGCTTCTGTATAGGTTGTGGGTTCTCCCTTTTAACTCAATAATTTTAATCTCCAGTCTGGCGATGATCAAACCCTTTCTACCAATCCATGTCATGTACTGTTCTCTCCCTCAGATGAATATGTATCCTCAAAACAATACAAATCCTCAAGCAGGTTCTTGGGTTTATCTTTTTCTTTCTCAGCCCTGGATGTGCCGCCTTCGTTTGCTCAAAGATCCATAACCACCAATTAAACCAAAACATATTTTATTCCAGCCATCCAAAATCATCTCACTGGGTTATGGACAGAATCAAACTTACCCCAAAAATTGTAAACACATCTGTGCATTAAAGCACCAGATATATTTGGGCAGACATGACAGCACAAACCAAGTTGCTGAATCCAAAGATTATAACCCATCACACTCCAAACTTTACCAACTGTCAACCATTGTAGTGAAGTTTCTGGTTTTGGGAGCCCTGGCCCTGGTGTGGCTGTTGCGGAGCCTGCAAGTTTAGAGGCTGGGTGTCGTAATGGGCAAAGGGTTGGGAATACAGAGAATTCATCAAGCCCTGCATGCAAATAGGTCACTTGTAAACAAAAAGCTAAAGTAAACAACAGTCAAAGGGGAAACGAGAATAATTGACCAACTCTATGAATACAATAGACCATATATGCACTACTTCTATTTGGTTGTATTTTTGGCAAACTTATGTTATCAAATGTCCATTATATCATCAATTAAATAAACACGTCATTATCTTTTCATAAACAAGGACTAATGAAGGTAGCAACCTGTGACTGGAGTTGGTTGGAATTGGTGACCCCAAAGTGGCTCTGTGATGCATCATCTTGTGAGGGGTCATTAAAGCCAACCTGTGTAAATAGACCTTGTGATCCATGTGTCATGTAGTCCTGGCAAAAGCAGAAGGATCAGATGACCCAAAAAAAATATGACATTGAAGGCTAACCAAGTGACAGAAAATTCTGCAAACCTGGGACATAAAATCATTCCCAGTACCAAAACGAGAATATCCGGCTTGAGAATTCTGGTTAAGAAAGTTTCCAGGAAAACCTCCCTGTGCTCCCTGTGTAACATAATCAACAGCAAATCCACTTTGGGAAGCCTGCCAAGAATTTCATTATCAGTCGACCAAGAAAATAACAATGTACATAAAACTATTACTTAAAATAAGGCAGATATATAACTTTAAAAACACAATAAAAGCTTTAGTATACAAATTTGCCCAACATCATTTCTTAACCAACAAAGAAGAGA